AGAGAAAAGAGAAGGACTGCCTTCCCCTTCTTTTTCCTTAGCCACCCCATTCTTTTCTACCATCTCTCCACTGGGCTAGATTCAGAGCTGAGGGAACCAGCCTGGTGTGAGTGTGGGATGGAGGATGACCCTCCAGACCAGGGTTCAAATGCCTGCTCAGCCCTGTAACCCACTGTGACCTTCGGCAAGTCACGCTCTCTCAGCCTCAGGCTGGGAAGGCCATGGCAAACCTCCTCTGGGAAGAAAAAACCAAACCCAAAAACACCTTGCCCAGAAAACTCAAGGATAAGGTGGCCATAAGTCGGGAGCAACTCAAAAGTGCAACCATCACCACAACTGGACCTTTACAGACTGCCAGAAATAATGCAGTTTGAGGCCACGTTAACTGTCCTGGCTCAGTGCTAGAGAATCATGGGAACTGTATTTTTTTTCTGGGACATTGAGCCTTCTCTGTCAGAGAGGTCTGGTGCCACAATAAACTACAGTTCCCATGATTCTCTAGGACTGAGCCAGGACAGTTAAAGTGGCTTCAAGCTGAATTATTTCTGGCAGTCTGTAAAGGCCCAAAGATTCAGACTTGGGGGTTAGATGTTGCTGCTGTTGTTGTGGTTGTTGTGCTTTCAAGTCATTGCTGACTTATGGCTGCCCTGTCACAGGGTTTTCTTGGCAAGAGTCTTCCATTCTCTGTCCATTTGCTATGGCCATTCTCTGAGGCTGAGAGTGTGTGACTTGCCCAAGGTCATCCAGTGGGTGACCATGGCAAAGGTGGGAATCGAGTCCTAGTCCAGAGTTCAAACCACTATACCACATTGGCCCACGGCGGGGGTGGTGGTGGTACATCTACACTGCAGAAATAGAATGCAGTTTGGCATCACTTTAAATGCTGGGATTTGTCATTTTGTGAGGCAGTAGCACTCTGGCAGAGAAGCTTCAAGGCCCGAATGGCACCAGATTCCATCTGATCAAGGAAGCTTAAGCAGAGTCAGCCCTGGTTAATACTTGGGTGGGAAACTGCCAAGAACTACCAGGTGCTACAGGCTTTATAGGAAGGAACTGGCAAAACCACCTCTGTTTATTGCTTGCCTGTGAAAACCCTGTGAAATTCATGGGGTCACCATAAGTTGACAGGTGGCTTGAAGGCACAAACACACAGATACAGAAAGAGTAGAAATGATGCAGTTTGACACCACTTTAACTGCCATAGCTCCATTCTATGGAATCCATGGATTTGTAGTTTTGTGAGCCACTAGCACACTTTGGCAGAGAGGCTAAGGACCTTGTAAAACTACAAATCCCAGGATTCCAAAGGATGGAACTATAGCATTTAAAGAAGTGTTTCTACAGTGTAGATGCACCTTAGTCTCTACTTAGAGAAATGCTGCTGAAACCAATGGGACTGATGTCATGAAATTGCTCTTGTGAACTGCCCCTGAGTTGGCCTTGGCAAATGTTGACCCTATGGATGAGACATCTTCAAGAACCCTGTCCTCCACTGCTCTGCTCAGGTCTAGCAGGCTCATGGCTGTGGCTTCTCTGATTGAATCCAACCATTTGGTATGTGGTCTTCCTCTCTCTCTGGTGTCCTCTACCTTTCCCAGCATCATTATTTTTTCCAATTATTCATGCCTTCTCATAATGTGGCCAAAATATGTCAGCCTCAATTTAGTCATTTTGGTTTCCAGGGAGAGTTCAGGGTTGATCTGCACTAAGACCCATTTATTTGTCTTTTTGGCTGTCCATGGTATCCTCAGCACCGCTCTCAAGCATCACATCGCAAATGAGTTGATTCTCTTTCTGTCAGTGTACTTCATTGTCCAGCTGTCTCATCTGTACATGATGGCGGGAAATACAATGACTTGGATGATCCTCACTTTAGTGGTCAGAGTCGTGAAATACCTTTGTCAATTGATTGAGATCTCTTGACTTGGAGCCAAAATTGTAATTCAAAACTTGGATCCAGGTCTATTTAGCCATGTACAGTTTGAAGTGCAAAGTGCTCATTATGAATTCAACCATCATGGTCACACCCCCAAAGAGAATTTTAAAATGCAAGGAACTGTCCATATCAACCCTGTTCTGGGAGCTTTCATCATGAGGAGCAGGTTTCTGGTCAAGTTAATAGGACTTAATTGTGCCTTCAAGACCCAAGTGATCCCAAAGGATTCACATCACATATCACAATATCTTGGTGGGAAAATCTTCCCTCCTTCCACGAGGCTACTTTTCCATGACTCAGTCATGGAAGCCACTGCTCTGAATCTGTAAGATCTGAGCAGGGCTGTTGATGGCAGGTGACTCTGCTGCTACACTGCAGAATTAATGCAGTTTGAGTTTTAACTGTCATGGCTCCATCCTGTGGAATCCTGGGATCTGTATTTTGTTGAGGCACCAGATCTCTCTGGCAGAGAAAGCTAGATATCCCCCATACTACAAATTCCAGGATTCCATAGCATTGAGCCATGGCAGTTAAAGTTGTGTCAAAAGGTAACATTGACAAGGTTGTCAAGTCATGTCCGATCATAGGGGGCAGTGTGGTGCTTATCTCCGTTACTAAGCCGAAGAGCCAACATTATCAGAGACTACTCTGTGATCATGTGGACAGCATGATTGCCCAGAACACTGTTTACCTTTCAACTGAGAAGTCGTACCTGTTTATCTACTTGCATTTGCATGCTTTCAAACTGCTAGATTGGCAGAAGCTGGGACTAGTGATGGGAGCTCACCCCATCTTGCAGCACCTGGGTCTCGAACTGCCAACCTGCAAATCTTGCAATCAACAGAGTCAGTGTCTTAACAACTTGAGCCACTGCATCCCATCAAAAAGTGGTGTCAAACTGCTGTGTAATTGCCACCTTGTTGTTCCCTCATTCATGGGGTTGCCAAGTTGAAGTCAATTTGACAGCAGTGAGCAATAACTAGAGATAACAGGGAATTCTGAGGGAAATGACTGGTGACATCATTATTGTCCCTGCAGGACCTCTGTTTCCACTACTCCAGTAGCAATGATATCCACTTTCTTCTCTCCCCCCCCCCCGCCCCAGCTTGCTCATCTTCACAGTGTGTATCCTATAATGAGGTTCTTTTTCTTCATGAGAAGAATATAACAACAGCCCCGCAGGCTCAGACCAAGGACCTCTTTAGTCTAGCACCCTGTTTCCCACAGTGGCCATCAAATGGCTATGTGAAACACACACTACACTTTGCCTGCCGCTGCTGATGTACTTTGGCAGCTGGTATAGTCTGCAGGCTTCCTCAGATACTGGATGTAGCAAACAGCCATGACTTGTAGCCACTGGTAGCCTTTTCTTCCATGAATTTGTCAAATAGCTGAGCTAAGTTGGTGCTGCATCCTCTGGTGGAGAATTCCAGACAATCACAAAAAATAAATCTTGAATCACTCACCACTAAGCTTCATTGGATGAGGGCAAAGGGAGTGTTCTTGCTTTCTTTTCTTTTTCTTCACACTTCTTGTTGCTGTGTGCCTTCAAGTCATTTCCAATTTATGGCAACCCTAAGGCATATCTATCATTGGGTTTTCTTGGCAAGAGTTGCTCAGAAAAGGTTTGCCATTGTCTTCCCCTGTGGATAAGAGTAGTGATCTTGTCCAAGATCACTCAGTGGGATTCATGGCTGAACTGGGAATTGAACCCTGGTCTCCAGAGTAGTAGTCTGATACTCAAACCACTACCCCCACACTGGCTCTTTCTTCACACTACACTTAATTTTATAAATGCCTATCATTTCTCTCACCATTACGCTTACCTAAGCTAAAGAACCCCAAATATTATAATCTTGTCACACAGAGGACTGAGCCTCCGTGTAGTGCTTTGAATGTTGGACTAGGGCTCTGGAGAGCTGGGTTCCAATCCATGCTGAGCCATAGAAACCCACTGGGTGACCTTGGGCATTCGCAGTCTCTCAGCCTAGAAGAAAGGTAGTGGCAAGCCTTCCCTGAATAAATTTTGCCAGGAAAGAACTAGGATAGAGTTGCTAGAATTTCGAGTTGACATGAAGGCCCATAACAACAAGAACCAGAACTTCATACAGAATTCATTCAGGACCAGTGATTTATAATCTCTAAAAGAGATTAAGGTATAAAATCAAAATTGTACCACAGAGGCACTGCTTCTTTTCATATTATTTGTAAAGGCACACCTGCATTATGAAGCATTTTGGACAATCATTGGCATTATTATAAGGAATGTTAGTGCTATAATGACCACAGAGGATTTACATAAATTCAAATTAGACAATGAGGAAATTGACATAGTTTTTCAGACCTGTGATCAAACAAAGGAAAATCATGAAAGAACTTGAGAAGATCCTAAAGAGTAAAGATATATAACTGAGCATTACAGTTAAAATTGCCAAAGCCAATGTATCGATGTGAGACCTGGCCAGTGAAAAAAGCAGAGAAAAAGAAAATAGTTTGAGATGTGGTGCTGAGAAGAGTGCCAAGGATACTGTGGACACTCAAAAAGACAAACAAACAGATCAAGCATGAAATTTCCCTGGAAGCCAAGATGATCAAATTGAGGCTGTCATACTTTGGCCACATCATGAGAAGGCATGACTCATTAATTCTAGTGAAGGTGGAAGGCAGCAGAAAGAGAGGAAAACTGCACACTAGATGCCTGGACTCAGTTAGGGAGGACCCAGCTGTGTGTCTGCAGGACTTGAGCAAAGCAATGGAGGATTGTGTGTTTTGGAGATGTCTCATCAACAGGGCTTCCATGAATGGCTGAACTGGGAGGCATGAATCAAGGTTGATTCGAGGGCAGTTAACAACAAGTGCTAAGGGTCTCTCTTTTAAAAAAATGCTTAAATATGTCTGTGTGTGTGTGTACATGTCTTCAAGTTGCCTTTCACTTATGGCGACCCCATGAATTTCATAGGGTTTTCTTGACAAGGAATGCTCAGAGGTAACTTTGTCAGTCCCTTAGCAAAGCAAAGCAGCTTCATTTATATACTGCATCATACCATGCTATGGAGTGTCTAAGTGGTTTACAACTGTAAGCTCATTGCCCTCCAACAGTTGGGTACTCATTTTAGCAACCTCAGAAGGATGCAGGCCTGAGTCTAGCCTGAGCCCTGGCTAGTATTGAACTTGTAACCTTGTGGTCTATGAGTGAGTGGCTGCAGTACAGGCATTTAACCACTGTGCCACCAGGGCTCCTCAGAATTACAGCACCTGGTATTCATTGGCAATCTCCCATCCAAGTACTAACCAGGGCTGATTCTCTGCTTAGCTTCTAAGGTCAGACAGGATTTGATGCCTTTAGCACAGGGACCGGCAACCTACGGCCTGGGAGCTGGTTAAGGCCCTGGTCCCCGGACTTACCGGCCCAGGCTGAAGGTTGCCGCCATTGCGGCGCATTTTTGCCACTCTGCGGCCTCGCTCGCTGCGCTCGCCATTTTGGAAATCAAAATGG